ATTATAACTCGGTTTCATAAAATGCCTAGACACACTTATAACGTATTACTACGATTTAGGAGAACCCAATGCTTCAACACCGTTAATATCAATGAAATCTTCTCGGGCAATCAGCCGCGTTAACTGGTTACCGTAGTAAACCGACGTTTCGGGAATAAACTCTGTCCCCATCTCAGGGTTCTGATGTGACTGGATCCTCGGAAGTCGCCTCTGTAACTGCAGTTACACGAGAATATTTCATTGATTGTACTCGCCGCGAAAGTCTCAAGTCCTATACCGTTAATACCATAGCCCGCCGCTGAAAAAGATCCTGAGGTGGTTCTGTCCTCCTAAAACCCTCACAATCTAGCGAATTTTAACTCATCTCTTTCTCGGTCTTCCAAGTGGTTGTTTTCTAAGACAATTTTTCATCAAGTTATTCGGGCGTTACTTGTCTGTCCTGCTGTAAAAATAACCTCAAAATTCACAAGACAAACATTTTTACATGATTCTTTTAAAGTTTGAAGAAAGTAGTTGGTCCATTGTTCGAACATTATTATGTACTATTCCATTGTCTGGGATGTATTTGACATACAAATTGTTTTACGGTTTGGTTATTTAACATTCGTGAGAATTCTAAGGTAACTGATGTATAAATAAGGTACATGAGACTCCAGATAGCTTACTTTTATAAATGCGAGTATAAACACGAAAGTTTCTTGATTCAGGGAAATTCTTGAAAAAGTGATCTACGTTGCTATGTCTCAACATCTGCGTCCACACAAGACCAGCTTATAAGCATATTCTTTTATTTAATGACCTCGAGTGTAAATTTGTTCCTATTAAATTTTTCAATTATGTATTTATTTTTAGCCCAAGAAAATCACATGCCTGAGCCCATCATTTTAATACGCTTAATAATATTTACGTTGTTTTAGTTTAACTAAATTTTCAGAATACCTGCTACAACTACTCTTTCCAATAAAAGTAAATTACAATTTTTTGTAGACAGAAGAGCGTAGAGCTGTATATTATAGCGCGTATTTAATTTTTTAACAGACCAAATGTGACATTATTTTAATTCGTAAAGAAATTCCTAGCAAATTTATTTCTAAAATATATATATATATATAATTTTAGATTAATTTTAAATGATCACTGCAAGAAAATACGATCAAACCGGAAATTATATATAATTATGTGTCGTACTATTTTCATATTCCCCTTTTTACCACCATCATCACGATCAAACCTTCAAGCCACACCTTCTGCCCCTCCCTCGCAAGTTCACCTCCATTACATTAGCCATTATCGGTCACGCAGGAGCCATCCATCCAGTAGTCATCGACCATGAACCAATATCGACACCCTGGGGCCAACTTCCGCTCTGATGGATGCTTTGCCCGTGCGCATCATTGTCTGGTCCCTCGGTTGTCCCACGCCTACATGTCGGTTATAACCACCAGCGCCAGCTACCGACGGACGGACGGACGCCTGTGCTGCTATGTTTGTCACGCGTTTGTAATGACACTGTAATTAGTTCTACTCATCATGTGTATAGGCTCAAAAACTTATTACTACATATTACTTTTTATATCTTAATTGCATCATGCTTGTGTTCCTCAATACAATACTTTTATTTCCGTCGTTACACATCGTGTGTAACGACGGAAATAAAAGTATTGTACATATTACTTGTTTACTCAAATGTGTTTAGGTCTTGTTCCCACCTAGTCAACATTTGGAAGCAGCAGCACGGCACGTTTCAAGCCAGTTTGAACAGAATTAAGCTTAATTTTATTAACATTTTGTCAGACTAACAGGTCACTTCTGAAAAGCTGAGATTCGATTTCTGGAGGAACCCATACAGAGTCACTTTGTCGGAGAAAAATTACAATTTGTATCATTGACTTCAATCGAGGGCGGAATTGAAGTTTAGGTCTATTTCTTCACGGTTGCATTTTCTGGAAAAAACTTCAATATTGTGTTTGTTTTCTTAATTAAAAATATTTTTATGATTGCTGTCTTCTGGGTTGTTGTGCCGTGTAGTATGGTAGAATTACACCTACGATAAGTCGCCCTGATGATGGATGCATCAAGGGCCTCTGAAACGTAGATATACTTCTACCAGACTACACAGCGCAACAACCCAGAATACAGCAATCTTCAGACTCACCAAATTGAAAACCTCAAATCCTATATATATTTTTACACAAGACTGATTTTGTTTAATTATTTTCAACCCTTTCTTAAAATTTCCGATAATTTTTAACTTCGAAATGAAATGATAAGCTTATATAAATTACAAAAGAACCATGTCGGTTTCCTCTGAAACATGGAAACAGCCGTGAATTATGTTTTGCGTATTAAAATGTGGTTGTTAAATAAACAATTTGTGATTACGTACAGAATAAGAAACAATAGCAAATTGATGTAATGCATTATCAGTAAAATGTACCGCTGTGGATACTTCAACTATCTGCATGTAGGTCATTTATCAATGTCGGCAGAACTGCAATTGTTCATTCATAAATGCGATTATACAGAATATAAAAAAATGTTTATTTAAATACAAGCAAGTTTCTGAGTATAAGATAAAAATAGTTGTGTCTATTATTTATGACATTTCCCTGTTTGTATGCATTAACACCTGCCCATTTGTCATTCTACTGTCATCGCACCAAACATGTATGTACGTGCGTGTGTACATTGGGGGTGGGGAAAGGATAAATCACATCCTCTTCTGGGAATCAAACCCCAGTCGTCGAGACCATTATTGTTATTGTTGTGATGGGGTGAGAATATGTCTCTGTGGCCTCTAACAAGCCCTTCTGCAACCCCCAGATTATACAGCGTGTTTCGCAAAAAGTCCATAGTTCAAGGGCGTGATTTTTGTGAGTCGGAAATACTCAACATACATATGTCAAAACGCAAATGGTTCGGATAATGCGAGAATTTTAAAAAAATCAAATTTTTGACGGCATAATTGTGCAAATAATTTACATTTTATTAATTTATTCAATTTAACTTTATTAAATTTACATTTAATACTTATAAAATCTAACTTAAACCTATAAATTACACAACAAATTTTTAGGAATCAGGTAATTACTCATGCTTGTGTCTGTGCTAGTGACCTCCGTAATTATATACGTAAATTACAGCTGTTTGTAAAAATGGAAGTAACAGACCTCGGAAGAGAGGACTGGTTGTTTCTTGTGCGGGGGGGGAAGCATCGAACACGCCATTCAACAGCTCGATTCTAGTACTGGTCTTCATACGCCCCCAAAGAAGAGTTGGGTAAAATTACCTGTGTGGGTTAGCAACAGAACATGGCCCAATCTAACGCTCTTGAAAATGTTGACTGAGACATGCAGCTACCTGCCTCACAAAATGAGGGGGTGACATTACTGTTTCAAACAATAGATTCTGCGATTTCTTCAGCAGTCTTAAAATGTCAGCATCCTCTTGTCGACTGAATTTCGGAAACACGTTTTTTTTTGGGCAGCTTCGAATCGAAATGAACACCATAACACGTCCCTGAGCCACGGCCATCCCACTAAGTGACACTCGTCAAATGAGTAAATGTTGAACAGATGTGGAATGATAATGACGGGAACTCTGAGATGAGCCACAATTCCCACTCTGACTGACCTCGGAGCGGACATGGGTTTTCACGGTGAGAAGCCGGCGAGTAATCTCGAGTAATTTGAGATATGGCACAGTCCAGTTGAGACCGTAACCTTCGTTATAAAGCAGAAATTCCGGCTCATTGTTTTTCTAATCGAAGCAGCCGTGAATCGAATTTATGAGGGTCGGCCCGAATTGACGAGAACTCAGCCGAAAGAATTAATGTATAATATAGAATCAAACTTAGCTGGCTTAGGAAAACCGAAGGTTCATCACCGAATTAACCAAAGCCCTCCACCGGACCCTGTCCTGGGCCACCAACATCCAGTCTCCTTCAACTCCTACCTCACATAGATCTCGCCTTATATTATCCTCCCATCTACGTCTAGGTCTCCCCAGCGGTCTCTTCCCTTCAGGCTTCCCAACCAATACTCGGTGCATATCTCTTGCCCCATACATGCGCGCTACATGCCCCGCCCATCTCATTCTTCTTGACTTAATCACCCTGACAATATTAGGGGAAGAGTATAAAGTTTAAAGTTTTTCACCAGACCCCATCGTCTTTTCTCCTAGGCCCAAATATCCTCCTCAATACCCTATTTTCAAAATCCTGAAATCTATGTTCCTCCTCCAGAGTGAGAGACCATGTTTCACACCCATACAAAACAACAGGCAGAATTATTGTTTTGCACACTTTAATCTTCAGGTTCTTAGAAGTCAGACGCGACGACAAAATATTTTGAACTGAAAACTATCAAGTATTTAGAAAATTTAGTCCCCTCCTAACTTCCTCATGAATATCATTTTGGTTCGTTAATGTTGTTCCCAAATATTTTAACTTTGTCACACTTTCAAAGGATCTATTAGCCACCCTGATATTTTTTCCGCCTGTATGCTGACGAGATACTAACATGTATTTAGTTTTTCCTCAGTTTATTTCTAGGCCAATCTTTCTACTAGCTTCTAGTAAAGCTTCAGTGTTCCTCTTAATTGTATTTATATCGTCATCCAATACATTAACAGCTTCAACATATACCAAAAGCTGATGTATCCCATTCAGTTGCTAATCTCCTGCTTATCTTGGAATTTCCTGATATACTACAGTATCCCATTTCATACATATGAAAGACAGCAATGCATACTACTACCATTACTACTACTGCTGTTTCTACCACTCATAAGCACTACGCTATGAGCCTTGGATTTTTCTGGAAACATTTTCTGCCAGAATTTCGAAATGGGAGATCAGTTCGTCATGAGGCTTATACATATAAAGGGAAGATATCACAGAAACACACTCATATCACGAGTTAGAATAGAATCCACGACCCCAGTGCATGAGCGGTCAAGATCCATATTGCACAAAGAATGAAAGAAACGTTGTAACTCACCTCGATGAAAGCGTCCAGTTGCTACGTGCACTTTCACAACACACGTGTTCACTCTGCAAAGGGTTGCAGAAGACTAGCTGATTGGCCGACACGCTCATAAAAACGAACAAGTGAAGGTCGCCAATGCAGTGCAGCTGGGAAGGTAATGGAGTTCCAGGACACTTGAGAACGGAAAGACAAGGTTTAAATGAGGAAATTTTCCAATCTGTGTAAGTGCAATACCAGTAAGAATTATTTGGCTCTGTTTTAAGCTAAAAACATGTCGAAAGCTCTGGGATCAATCCCTCTCGGATAACAGATGTTTGTCCGCGTCTTAATTTGTCACACTGTATTTTAGCTAATTGGTACGTGCCTTGCGATCTGCTTATAATTTGATTATCAAATTTTGCGTTTCATTTTTCCTTTTGTTGTAACCATTACTATTCAATCAATTTGTCAGCATTGACCAATTACACATAAGACAAAATCTGGCACATGAGACTTTTTGGATCTAGTAGAGAAAGAAATACAATCAACTCAGTAACATTCTATGCAGCTCATCAAAAATTAAATAAATACTTTAATGTAATGCATGTCTAAGATGGCTGTCTTCTTGCGTTGTAGCGCCGTGTAGTCTGGTACAGGACATCATCGCCCTGATGATGGAGACAGGAACAACCTCTGAAACGTTCGTAAATTTTACCAGACTATATGGCTCTACAACCCACAAGATATTCATCTTCGTTCTCACCGTGAAATCCCTAGTTTAATAAATGGTAGTATGGGTTCGGAATTAGTTTCTCCCTACAAAAAATATGTTGTTCAGTTCACGTTTAAAGACAAATTCTTAAGTATTCCAATTCTAATTTCTTTAAAATCTCGCTCAGCTAAAAAAAAAATTCGTGGGCTTTTATGGAAACTAAGTCCTATTCAGGTAATATCTTTGTAGTCTGATATTTTCTGTCGTGAAAATATATTCTTTTAACATGTCCATCATCTGGAACTTCCGGAGTTCATTACATATCCGCCTTCTTGTGGGTAGATACCGTTAGATAAATATGGTATTTATAACCAAGTCTGGTGATGAACAGTTTTATGTAATCTTAAGACGTAGTACAGATAAAATTGGTCTTTATCACTGTGTCTAATGATAAAGCAGGTTTTATCTAACTGGTCCTACACATGAATAAACTTTACTTTTACCTGTAGCCGGTGACAGAATCTATATTTTACAGCGACAACGTCGAATGCTCAAAGAAAACATTCCCATAATGTATTAGGTTTCCCGTTAGTGCCTTCAAGTCCACGTGTAATTTCTCATTTGTACGTAACACACTAAATTTGTACTCTCAAATCACATTTATGAACAACGGCCATACGAAAAGTGCTTCTCCAACTCGCCCTACCTTGAAATTACATGGGCAATACTATAACCAAGACACATTGGCCGGTGTCAAAATCCACTACGGAGTTCCTCAGACCCCGTTGGCTTATACTTCACTCAGCCAGAGGAATTAATTACACATGATTAGTTCCTGCTTCCTTAAGACAGGCTTAAAGTTATCCTACCATCTAAACCACACTTCCCACCGTTCCTATTAAAAAGCTATTCGCATTTCAGCTCCATTACATAAACGAGAAATATTTAATAATATTTTGCAATGAAGTGTCTCGTGAACTCATATAAAACCATGGGACATTAAAATTGTACATATCAGCGTTTATGTACTACCAAGTAAGGAAATAACTACTGAAAACGAATATAGGAAAAGTTTTTTAACCTTTTCAAGCACGAAATTCACACCAGTGATATTTAAAAACTCAGTTCTTACCACAAAGTAAATACGTCTCCATTACAGAGATCAGTTGGTTAATAATGTTTTAAGTATGTATTTATTATTCCAGTCTATACACAAACGTTATTTTAAAATGTTGTTGTTAAAATAACTCTATAACATTTGTAATATAAATATCACAATAAGTTATATTAAGTTATAATTGTAATTATAGCGCGTTTCATCGTGTGTATAGACTGGAATAATAAATACATACTTAGTTCAACACAAACATGACGCATCTAAGCAACAAATTTAATAATGTTTTGTAAAATCGCTGGGTATTCTCAGAATCATTCGAAACCCATAAATACACTGTTTGGGCAAAATGTAGACTAATTTAAAGCCAAAGCATTCGATGTGCTCCAAAAGGTTAATGACGTAAGAAACTCATTATTATGTTTCAGATACTAGCTACTTGATGTATCAAACTGCATATATCTGGCGAGTAAACGTATCTCTATGCAAAAAGCTCTTTTAGCTTGAAATGTATGTTCATGCTTAACATCATACAAGTAAAGCACTTAAACGTCATGAAAGAGAACTATTACAAATTTTTCTATCCCCTTTCACACCTAATGTTGTTTACCTGGGAAACTGTTCTCGTCGTCTTCATTCGCAATTTTCGCTTACGTAATTGTGCTTTCAAAAGGCACTGTCTGTGCTTTGTAATTTGCATTTACATGCAGAATGCATTAAACCCTGTGTTATATTGTATCGCGTAATATATGTCGACTTTCCCACAATGTTTTGAGTGTACAAATATTGTTCAAGGTGGTCGAATAAGTATATAATCCTATTTAACTAGTCTGTCGTCGTCAAGAACGTCGCTCGGAGGATAAAAGAGATGTGTTGAGTATGGATCATGATTGTGAGTGGCACTTCCAGTCATGGGGATGTTTGCTTTGATATTAAACCTCTCACTCCGTTTCCTTATTAAGCCTAAAGAAAGTGAGGGTACAGTGCGAATTTTCAACGCCTCTCTGTTGTTATTAAACCAGAGATGACATTGTGTTTGACGCTAAATAAGATGACAGTGCATGAAGTACCATCTTGTTTGCATACACGTACATGCATTAAAGACGTTTACGTCAAAATACAAATGCCTCATCCAATTTGAGGTCTAATCTATCTGTTTGCTTCCTTCACAATCACTTTCAGCAAACCTCAATTTATGTTTTCTTCAACGTCATTGTCAGCCCTTAACAACGTGTGACCTATTTCTAAAACATAAAGTGTGCGAAATTTAATGTATGTCAAATCATGTCAATAACGTTTTCAGGGTATGAATACAATTTAATACACGAACCGAATAAAGGGGTTGATAAAGTGATGACGTGGCTGTCTGGTTTATATATTCTTGATGCAAATGGTTTAAATTCCCGCTTTTGAATGATTAAAATACGTTGTTTTCTTCGTTGTCTTCAGATCGAGATGAAGATCCAATTACAGCTGTAACTACCTGTTGACATCCAACAAAAAGTTCGAAACAGTTTGTGATATGTAAAGCGATTAATTCATTCACGTAAATAATTATTACGAACGAAGCAAACATTAAGGATGGAAACAATTATATAGTAAAATACTGGAAAAGAATACATGTTTATTTATTTAAGGATCTTCGCATTAATACAACAGTGTTTGCGAAGTAAATTCAAACTGCAATTTGCTTCATATTACAGAAATTCTGTAACAATTACAGTGTACAACAATTACCAGGGGCTTTCTTTACACGGAAGCAGTGGTTTCAAAGGGCTAATTAACTTGATTGACTCGCTGACATATTTATTTTTGTTACATGTTTATATTCATTATTGTTCTTCTTGTGATCATTAATACGATTAATTTATATTACAAATTTACGATTCGTACTACTAATATGTTTCACACTATCCACTCTCTGCGGCATATTTTACATACACGACGTTTCGGGAGTTGTCTCTTCTCTCGTCTGCATATGATGATTGTCACTATACTGAGAGATATGTGTTAGAACTTGGATGGAATCCGGAACATGACCTTTAGTGATTACCGTACTACCATCTTTAAAGGTCCCGGATTGATCTACACCTTCGCTTTGTTATAAAAATTTAAAGAACTGTCAGTGCAATGACAGCCTACTATCTGCAGAGCGTAGGGTAAACTCCTGAAACTTCATGTATATCAAATACATGAGATCTGGGGTTCTCATGGCGGTGACGATGTTGATTTTGGTCATAGATATTAACACCATTTGGACTCGTAGGTAGATAACAACGATTCGGCGACTATACTGCCTCCATCTTTAGGAATGAAGATGGAGGCAGTATGTGCTTCCGAAAAGTTAGTATCTACCTACGGGTCCAAACGGCGTTACAACTCAAAACAGCAACATCAGCATTTTTCAAATATACCTCAGAAGATAGACAAAAGCAATATAATATTTATATAATTAATCATTGTGACAAAAACTTTAGAAAATCATTTGCAAATTGCAACAATTTCTGAGCTCCTTATTTAAAACTATGGTTACAAATATTTTTTATAATATGGTCCAAGAAAAAGTCATGTTGCCGAACATTCTAGAACACCCTGTAATATTGACCCATGCTATTACGTAAAGCATACTGTTATTCTACAGTAAATTTTATAAATACTGTATCAAATGACAGCCATAACAACAAGACCTTGATTTAGGAAGAATGTAGTATTTACGCTCTGTAGAGATTAAACTCCGTCTGTGCACGCATAGAAAGAATTCCTCCAAGTCCGAGGCCGTGTGTAACGTAGTTACAAGAATATCAGTCTTCTTAACAACTGTTCGTGTGCTACTTCATTGTCAGGTCTGCATTTTTATAAAAACAATGCAGAAACATATAATGACAGTACAAAAAATACAGAAAGAAATACGTAGTACATAACGAATTGTAGTTTATCACTGCGAAATTAGTTTAAATGGTTCGTATAGGAAACACATGTGAAGGAAACATTTCCTTACATCCATACCAGACAACCCATTAAAGTTTCTGCGACTTACACAACGAAGACTGCAGCCATTAAATAAAAGCAATAAATTGTCTCCCATTTTGGTGACTATATATCTTTTTTCTCTATTTTCCGTACACGATATAGTCAAAGACGTAAAATAGCACAATTCTACGTCAGAAAAGACAAACGACTAGCGCTGAGCCCTGTGTAACCTTCACCGGTTCTCATGCTTGAATAGGGAATTCTTATTATCATTCGAAGGAATTTTCTTTAATTTTGTGTAACGCAATTTCAAAGTTATAGGGAGTTCGTGACAACTCGTTTTCAATAATCATTTATAACACTACTAGCAGTAACTTATATTCCCCCATCCTTCCTTAAACAGTGATTACTATGGCTGGCATTACAGAAATCAGACATTAGCTATCTACTTTAAATGGGTCTTGAACATTTTATTAAAAGACTGCATACGTTTCTTAAAATCTGATTCAGCCAAGCTAAGAAATTTTACACACTTATGAGTATATACCATAATATTTAGACACCACACACTTATTAATGTTTGGTTCTTTAAGAAAAGGCCCCTTCTCGTTGTTCAGTCTTCAGATTGTGTGTAAGGCGGTTGGATCTGCATTCTAAAGTACTGCATATTCTAGAGAGGGAATTATAATAGGCCTATGGGCGCAGCTGTTAACTGATTCCGTCACTGTTTAATGTTGAAGAAGCATAAGCAAGATGGGAAATGCTAGGAGTATAATTTTATGGCCCTCGATACGTTGCATTACATGAGAAACATTATGGCGACAGCATGTTTGAATATGTGCCATCTACTGTAAAGTAATGTGTCGAGAAAACTTGTAGGGCCGGTGGGACCAAGTTCCGCTCTGTTTAACGCGGCACTTACAAAAGAGCCTCTGGTTTCAGTTGGCTAGAAACTGTGTGGGCCCAAAACAGGTCCAGTTGGAGGTGAAAATAAAAGTCCTTGCCTCTATCGGGAATAGAAGCCTGGCTATCCAGTCTTAGCCAGTCACTGTATCACTTAATCGTTATGAAAATGCGCAAGTTTTTTAAAACAGGAGTTTAAAATAAAAATGTAATTTAAAAAGTTCCCAATTAGGTTTAATTTATTATATCACTATTAATATTTTGTTTTTATAACTGTTGTTTTTGTATCATGTTACAGGGCATCTGTCCTTGAGTCAGGGTCAAACCTCATGACCTAGTATTTAAAAATTATACAAAATGAATTAAGTGCTATGTGGAAACCTAAAGATGTCTGTTGTTTCTGAGATGGACGTCTTTTGTAGCTCCATGCTGGAATATTTATGAGGAATGCCATCTAAATTCGTTTGAAATGATCGTAATAAGCTTCAGTTGTACCAATATTTGTCTATTGTACGTATCACCTTTGCCTTCACATTCCACTCGCGATGTATATCAACCAATAGGTATTCGTAGTTGTTGTTAATATTATTATCACCATCATCATTACTTCATTTATTATTTATTATAAAACTACCAACTTCAGTCCTGGAGATGAAAGCAGAATGTTCCTCCAAAACGTTGTACCCACCTACAAGCCTGCACAGTGTGACGACCCAGAAGAAACTCATCGACATTTTCACCGTGAGAACCTCAAATCTCATTTTCTCTGGAAACTTAGCCAATATTTTGCTTGTGGTTTGATTAACCTTACCTGTGACATAAGTAAAACTTTTCATAAATTTAAAAAACCTACGTCCATGTTACACCCAACAAGTGTTCGTCAGATTACTTCAGTTCCGTATATTTATTTCTTTTAGATCTTGCTGTCATTTCATTTAAAGTTTAAATTGGCTCGGTAAACAAACGCTGGATGGTTTCTCCATCTATAAATCATCAGACACGTCCGTAATAAACAGGAAATAGCTATGCCATTACGTGCATTTGTATGCAGATAACACAAAACCCCCTTTTGTTCCCTTCTCTCTGGACAGCACACAGTAATCACGATGGCATAATCCCCTTGAGAGCACGATTTACAGAGAATGCTTAAATGCAAGAAAACAGAGATTTGACTTCATCTACAAAATACTGTGATGCAAGTTACTTTGAATAAATGACTCGAAGTTTCAAGGTGTTCAATATCCACTGTAGAATTCTTTGTACAATGCACGATGTCGACTGGTAAAAGGTATCGATAGGTATGGATATTCCATGCCATTCTATCAATCCGTTTACAATCAGGTCTTCCAAATTGTCTCTTCCCTTCAGATTTTGCGACCATCTCATCTTTCCAAGCGTGCCACATGCTTAACCCATCTAGTCTTCCTTGATTTGACAATCCCAATATTATTTGATGAAGATTAAGTCTCTTGTCGCTTCATCCAAAACACGTATAATAGTGACGGGCGTATGGAAGATGACAGAGCCTCCATTTTCCGTTATAAACATAAACAAACATTTCTCTTTCGAATGCCTGAAACGTCGACATTAGTTTAATAAAAATTAGATGTACAAAAATAATCCAGTTTATTATACACTGATCCTCTCCCACGGGGGGCGAGCTCCTGAAAGCCAAAAAGAGAAAATACACCAGCAGCTAACGCGAGAACAATAAAAACAGTGCACATTTTACAACTTTTTTTCCAACAATTATGAAGCAAAATTTCATGTTACACGTCACCTTTTCAAAAAACGAAGTACTTCTGTTTTTATTCGGGTGCTGCTTGGTGAATTTGAGTGGATTCTATGACTTAAGTGAACCTTATTTCACACGCCATCTCGTTTATTCAGCCCAGCTCTCCACGTCATTAACAAGGTTAATCAACATTTTGTTATAATTGATTTTATGCCATAAAATATCTAGTACTGTATTATTAATAAAATTATTTTCTTCTCCTTTTAATCTAATCAGCTTTACTTATTAGAATTATTATTACAAAGACATTAACGTATTCAGTAACAACTTTCCTTTTTATATCAACGTCGTCTACACTTACGTAATGTTCCGATAATCTCCTTGTTGTTACGGTTCTAAATTTTTTATTGTGTTCCTCCTATGCTGTATCTGTAATTAGCCTTCTGGCACTTAATGCAGAACACTAATAATAAAGAATTGAACTAAATGACTATCTGTGGTTCTACATCCCTTAATTGGCCGTGGCCTCACCCCACATGGTAGGTCACTTGATCTGTTCTACACATTTCGTGGGTCTTCTTGGACGAGTGATCAGCCCGTCGGAAGGAAATTGTACTTTACTACACAGAATTCATCCAATCGTTATCACAGATAATAATAATTTTACCTTCCACTTTTATCAACTAAAACAAAATTAAAAAGTACAAATTAAATTAGAAAATAAACCTATTAGAATAACGGAAATTTTTTATAATATTACACATGGACAGTGCGTTTTCATAAATCACGTAGTTTCACTCTCAGAAAGACAATTAGTATATTTAGTACAAATAAGAAACTTCTTAGCACAGTAATCACTCTGTACGATTATTGAGCGGAATCATTTAACTTACCGTTAAAGTTTCATTGACCACATTAGCTACTTCAGAGTCTCAAGCAGATTTTGAACTAGAAGAGGAGGAGGTCGAGGTTCTACTTTTATATTTCTTGTTGCGGTCTGAGATCTGGGACTCCTGGAGGAAGACCTTCGACCTCTGCTCCTGCTATTGTCAACAGTTCCTCCGCACCTTGTCTGACGAGACTTGTTCGAGTCCTGTTCCCTGTGACCAGCCATACTGGGCACCCCTGGACCACTGATTGACACTCCCCGTAACTCGTTCTTGTTCTGACACAAAAGCTTCTTCTGATGCTGTGACATCGGTTCCGACCCCAGGTTCAAACTGGCGTAGTAATTGCTTCCAATGTTTGTCATGATCCCGCCAAACGGAATATTTGCATAACGATTTCTGTAAGAAACAGCGAGAACATTATCAGGTGAACTAATAAGCGTTTATAGTAAGAGCTCCTTGTACACACGTCGTTTAACAGAGTTCTCAATATCCAAAAATTGTAATATTGCTAACTCGCCTATTAACTCGTTAATATCATATTAAAGAAATTTAAGTTCTTGTAATCAGAGTTGGAAATATTAAAATGTACACTATTTATATTTTGTAAACCTCTACCAGATGCCAACAGGTACACACTTCTTTGTACATTTCCGATTATTACTTTATATTCTTTTTAATTAACTCTATACGTTCATTCAACTGTTACGAAATACGCAACCTTCAAGTGTATGAAAGTAATGGTTAGAACTAAGACCTCATTCTTGGCCTAGAAAATAAATAACATTTTAGAGTTTTACGGTTTATTCAGTACCTTTTTTGGAAAATTCTGTAACAGTATATTAAAATAACTTAAGTCATCTTATTCCATGTCCTTTACAATGTATATAATATTCCCGTACCGTCGAAATATTCGATAAAGAACATCATTTAATATTTTAAATGTTAATTATTGTAATATTTTAATATTTAATAAGAATTTATTGTGATTAGACGGACAAGATTTAATATATACTTAAGTCATCTTATTCCATGTCCTTTACAATGTATATAATATTCCCGTCTTTCGACGCCATTTGATGAATGCGGTTGTTAGAGAACATTTGGTTATGTAACAACTTTCTTTCGTGCCTATGTGCTGATATTAATAAAAACAGAAGAAGCCTCGACCTGCGTAGACTCAATACGGCAGAATTTCGAACCGAATTCTTACTGCATATAAGTCTACTGTATTACTGGTGTTGGGAGAATTGCTGGTGGTTTCGCTGTAAAATCACCTTCAGTGGACGTTTTTGTATTGTTTGTCATAAATCACCATGTACAGTACTTAATACAGCCCAATTCCTTAACTTAACTAAACCTTTAAAGTGCCAAGGCGACCGACAAACTGGTTTTTGACAAGAAGAAAGTGGTCCCGATGTGCGAGTTCACATTTAATCCATTTCAAGTACAAACAAGAACACTGACAATTGCACGGTGCGTGGGATGGTTGCGGGCGTCCGGCGTGACGTTCCGAGTTGCCAATTTAAACTAATTTTCCGAGCTTTTAAAACGATAGCACTACACGCTACGACCATTATATCTGCATCAATAATTGACAACATTTAGCAGTCCATCGAATGAGTTCGATGTCTGACCCTCTTCACTCAAAATACGATACGGTTTTTAACGAACAGCTGAAGAAAAGAGAAAGCAGATGGGTTTTGTCACGAACAGCTGAAGAAAAGAGAAAGCAGATGGGTTTTGTCACGAACAGCTGAAGAAAAGAGAAAGCAGATGGGTTTTGTCACGAACAGCTGAAGAAAAGAGAAAGCAGATGGGTTTTTTCAAGAACAAATCGTGATAACAGAAGGTCAGTCTTCGTTCACCGCTCATTATCAACGTTGTCCTAATACGCTTCGATTTGTAGTCTAAAGCGCTAATTTCAAATTACAAAAACAGCTACGCGTGAACAGGAATTACACGATATAGAGTTATCAGCCGGTTTCCGGGTAAAACATCTACTGGCATGACGTACCAAGAAAACGTAGCCCATTCCGGACAGCACCACAGCGAGACGTAACACCTGTCACCGTCGAATATTTGTGGCGCCGAAAAAGGTAATCCCATTGCTGAATGTAACCTGCAGAGCAGTTAATGACGATCACGAACAGAGTCCAGCATACCTTCGTTCTAAACACTATGGCATGGCTACAATAAATGAAACGATGGGAATCAATCTTGGGATTCTCGTCTCGTTTAGCTTTCAGGATTGTGGCCTATAAACTGTTGCTGTTCAGCATTATTTGAGTCAAATTATTAACCTTCGTTGTCCTTAAATCTCGTCTTGCGCGCAATCCAGCTTGTAATGCGTCACACCAGCATATTGTTAGCAGTCACCCACGGACTGTGCTGAAGCATCATGTGAAAATTAACTGATATGTTACTGTTTCCGTCTTTATACACGAGGTTAACCGCGGAATTAAAATCCAACCAACGACCGGGTAGTACGGAGATTCAAATCGCCTTTTCCTGTACGACCCAGGTTAAAGTTTACAAAACCAAAAACTGAGTAACATTACATTTTAATGTTTTGTCTTAATCTTTTCAAAAACTTCCAATCAAGCTAAAAGGAACTCGGGCCAGTGAGGTAATTTTAATTAAATATACCTTTACTCTTAGGCAGAAGATCATGACATTTTTCTTACTTACTTATGGACGAGTAATTGTTATCATTCATAATTAAAACAAAAGAGCGAATGAAACAGGAAACGTAATCAAAGTAATTAAATAAAGAGGAAATAATTCATGGGAGAACGACAGACAGACAGATAGGAGGGCTAGAGGAGAGCTATAAGAGAAATTTTAAGCTAAATTAACAAAAATTGCAAAGGAAATTTGATCAAAGATAAAAGAACATCTTAAGTATTGACTTATAATAAAATATGAACTGTAACAGGATAGAGCTTATCATACTAACGACGTTTCATAAAGGCACTCTTTCATTACAGGCAGCCTGTGTGAATGCAGTTTGAGCAAACAGATGTTTCTCTCGACACCTGAACATATATAACATACCTCGCAGTACTGTGTAAATATTTCGGGTGCAACGAGGACATGCAATTTGATAAATGTCATGCGTCACATATCAAACACATTAAAATACGAGAAATATGCAACGCCGAATATTTCAATGCAAGCAATTCCTTTCAAATGCGATATTATTGTCATACAAACACGCGATTCTACAATACAATACAAGTCTTTTGTATCTTAATATCTTATCTAAAGTATCGTTTATATTATATTTACTCCAA